ATTGTTTGTTTTCATGGATTAGATGTTCTAGAAAAAGCGTATCTTTTAGTATCAATGTTTGGTTGGACGCGACTGGATAATTGATAATATTCAAAAGACTATTTTTACCCTTGTATTTAATTTTTTATATTTCTTTTTAGACTATTTAAATTTTGTAAATTTATAATCTATATTAATATTTAATTTATAATTTAACAACACTAAAAATCGTTAATTTATACAGGCTCATATTTTTAATTTATTATTTTTATTAAATTTTTAATTTTATAATTTTATTTTTTTATTTAATATATATTTAAATTAACACACGTAAAAAACAAATTTTATTTAATCATAGAAATTTAATTTTTTTACAACACAAAAAATTAATTTTATGAGGCTATAATTTATTAATTTAACTTTTAATTAAATTAAATCCTATAATTATAATAATTTTTTTATTTATACATAATTTTTAAATTAAAACACTAAAAAAATAACTTTATAAATGTTCAAAAGACTATTTACATTTTTCTATTATTTACTAAGTAACGTATGAGGGTAAAATGGAATTTCACACATTGGCTTGAGATACCATCCTGGAAATAATCCCACCCCGCCTGGATTGTTTAGTCCCACATATAGGGATATGGAGTCTGATGGACTCGCATGTCAGCGGACTAAAAATCCAAACGATAGAATCGCCCTTCTTTGGGTAAGCCAATCTTCGACAGTGAATTATCCTCCCTACACCCCTCAATCCAAACACATCTTAGTGGAAAAAAGAAACCTAGAAGGTGGGTTGGTCAAAAAACTTTGTGAGGGACCACGATATCTCTGGATTGTTTCATTGCCAACATAGACACCTTTTGTAACTAAATGAAATGTTTGCCCTCACATAAAGTTTTTAATATTTAGTTCAATGGTTAATTTTAACCTAATAATTTTGGAGTTATGGGTTCAAGTCTGGGGACATCATTTTATGCACTATGCCAAAGGTTTTGGTATGTACCCAATCTTTTTCCTCGCAAACACACATTATGTGTACTACTTGGACATTATTTTTTTTTATTCTTTTGATTATTGTTTGTTTCAAGGTTAAATTTTTAGTGATTAATTGTTGTGTGATAAAGTTTAGCTTTTGCTTAGAATTTACCATCACCTACCACCACTACCACTCACCTACTCCACTAAACCTAACCACTACACCACTACCACCTCCTACTCCACTAACTAACCCACTACACCACTATCACCATCCACTACACACCATCCATACACCTACATCTATTAAGAACCATTTGTAATAGACAGAATATGGATCAATAAATCAATCAATATTATCAATCAAATAATACATTCCAATTTTACATTGGTATTCAGAGCAATAGGTTAGCTCTAGGTGATTTTACCTTCCGGCGGGCGCAACCTTGCCTTCACCGCCCGCCGGACCCCAACACATACCTCCTCTCCTTTCACCTTTGTCTCTGCAACCTCACTCTTGTAAATCATCACCTCCATCGGCGTCGTCCAGTCGGCAACGGCAGCCGCTAGCAGCTCGTTCTCTCCCTTCGAGAACCTTCTCTCCCATAGAGAAGACTTGGTTCCACAGATTTGGATTGGTTAGACGAAATCAATCATCAACCAAATCAAAACTTGTTTAAAGCTCTCAAATGAAGGAGTTTTTGTTGTTGCTAAAACAAACACACAAAAAAAAAAAAAAACAAACAAAATTTCATTCAAATCAATTTGTTAATCATTGTTGTTTGTTAAATTAAGAGGAGAGAAAGAAACCGCAATCGGAGGCGCCCAGACCTAACCCTACCTCTCCCTCAACGAGACATGTCTCTAGCGGTTCCTCTCCCTCTTCCCCGGCTCAGCTTCGTCGTCTTTCCACTCCACTCAACTCGGCGGTGGTGGTGCTCCGCCGCCGTTGGAATTTCTCGGAACTGGAGCGAATCAACCGAATCGAGACGAAGCGGCGGAACAGTCTACAAAGTCCTCCATCGGCCGAGTCGGAGGCTTTTTCGCCTGAAGGTGATCCACGGGCCTACGAGACAAAGACACCATTCGTCGCCAGATGTGTCGTGAAATCGAGATCCTTCGACGACGTAGATAACCCTTAGCGTCGTCAGGTGTCACGACATGTTCGATCACGCCGGTGAGATTCAACTTCTTCTGGAATACATGGACCTGTGGATCTCTCGAAGGAAAGCTTAATACACAACGAACCCGCCTCGCTGATCTATTCTCGCCAGTCCTCTCCGGGCTGTACTATCTCCACAAGCGTAAGATCGTTCCATGAGACATAAGCTTCGAATCTGTTGATGAATTCTCGAATCAGGTAAAATTGCTGATTTTGGGGTTTCCAGAATCTTATCTCAAAACGATGGTCCTTGTAACTCGGCGGTTGGGACGATTGGCTTACATGAGTCCGGAAAGATTCAACACCGATCTTCAATCACGGAAAGTGACGATGGATATGCTGGAGATATTTGGAGCTTTGGAGTGAGTATTTGCGAATTCTATGTTGGCCACTTTCCTTTTGCAGCTGGAGTGGAGATTGGGCGAGACTCATGTGTGCAATCTGTATGTCTCAGCCTTAAGAGCTGTCCTACACCACACGCCGAGTCGCTCCCATGTCTGCTTTTTTCGAAAGTTAAAAACAAAACAAACAAAGAATAATCTTGGAGGGGTGGAACCTCTTCTCTCTCTCTCTTCCCATTGTTCCCACATGCACGCACCGCCAAAATTTTTTTATCATAAAGCTTATTGGTGCTTGTTCCCCACTTTCTTTTTCTTTTTATTTTTCGTACTCATTATCAGTCCACTTTTAAACCCCACTCCAGCACACCCACAATCTTTTTTTTTTTAATATTTTCAGCCTTTTCCTTATATATATATTCTGATTCTTTTTCTCCTATATTCTTTCTATTTCTTTCTTTTTTTATTTTCTCTTTCTTTGTATTTTTTTTATTTTATTTTATTAAAAAAAAAAAAAAAAACGCGAGGAAGAAGAACGAACTGCACACCATCTTATATTTATTTCATGTCGGGCTCACCCGATCACCATTCTTACACCACACTCCAAAACCACACAAAAAAAAAAAAAAAAAAAACAAAAAAAAAAAAAAAAAATCAAACAATCACTCAACCAGGAGGGATTTTCTTTTCCCTCTCTACTCTACTGCAGGTCTCTTCTTTTTGCCTCCGTCCTGGGTGGGGCCCTTGACGGTGTTGCCTCCGTGCTTCTAGGACCACCACGCAAGTTTGCTCCTCCCTGCTCCTCACTTCAGCGTATGGCGGACCTCCAAATTGGAACATCACGGTGGCCTTCCGCTTCAACTCCCTGTTTTCCGCCTTTAGTACACTTTCTTGCTCGCGCATCCTTATACATGCGTTGGAGCAGAGCCAGCTGGGCGTTTAACTGCTGCACCTCATTTGCCCTACTCTGCAGCCGGTGTTCGACAAGTTTGTCACCGCCGTCATGGTTTCCACACATGCTATCAAGGTATACTGATTTGGCCCCACCATCCGACTGCACCGCCATTTTTGCTCCACAGACCGCATCGGAAAGTTCAAGCGAGCAAACCGAAGCGCTTGTTGAGTTTCACTGGCCACCGCCACCCGTTATTCTTCTCTTGTTGACTCGTTGAAGT